AATGAAGATAAGTCTTATCAGATAACATACGCAATTTATGACTTAAATACAGGTGAGCATGTAAGCTGTTTTCTAACTGGGAGTTTAGCCAAACTTATTGCTTTGTTTGAATTAATTCAATCAGAACGTTACTTTATCTTCACTACATCACTGTGTGTTAACGACACCGGATACTGCTACCACGCAGGCGGTGATCACACGAGGTGGACTGCATTTGGAGATGTGTTTTTTTAAAATAGATTTTCCTTACTTCAGAGGCTGTCATGTGCTTGAGTTTTTTTGGATCAATACCTCACATTATCAGTGTTTACTTAAACCATAGAAAACGTTCATATATGGGTCACTATCTCTTCCAGGCTTACAAACACGTCGTCTGGTATCGGCAAATATTTACGAGTGATAATTATCACGTGTCTGAATTAACATACTGCCTACAACTAAATAAAGATGTATCTACATTACACACATTCATTGTGTTAGTGAAAGCATTGTATTATATGAAATATCGTCAAAAATGTTTCGTCGAAATGTACGGCAACTTGACTGTTTGTTTGAGATTAATGTACGGCATCATGCAAATTGCAAGTCGCCGTACAATGCTATGAATTTATGTCGGCACATTTCTCATAATTAACAAGTTTTATAAGTTCGAAAATACGATAAATGTACGGAATGCATATACATATTAATTAGTTATAGGTAGTGAAAAAATACAAATATTAATTCAGACACGTGTTTAGTATCACTCGTGAGTTTTCGCCGATACCAGGCGGCGTGTTAGCAAGTCTATAAGAAATATTGACCCATATGGGAATGTTCTCTGTGGTTTAAGCCATATCAGGGTATGTGAGGAATTGATAAAAAAAGCCCCAAGAATATACAAGCCTCTGAAGTAAGGAAAATATCAAAAATAGTCACCTGCAACAGAAGCCCACTTCGTGTGATCACCGCCTGCCTGGTAGCAATATCCGGTGTTGTTAACCCTCAGTGTATAGATACAGATTAGCAGTTGTTAACTGTGCGTGTACGCACCTTAATTTACCATATCGATCAGGCTCCCGTGACGTCGTTATGATAAGTGTCGAATATTGTACCCTATTCCTCGCACTATTTTGATACAGTAATATTTTCGTTGATGCACCTTTGAAATGAAATAAGTAGAAAATTGAATGGGTGTATTTCTGGTGAATACCATATGTATTTCACCTGTGAAAAAATCCATTTTCTGCCTTCCTTGTGAAGTATGCATGGTATCCAACGGGAAAACACAAATATCCTTTAAATATTGAAAGATAACATATCAGACGCTGACAATCTGGCCGCCATATACTGTCCCTGGTATCCTTACGTGTTATCCCAGTTCTTCTACTCGTTGACCAGTTTCTAGTCCTGAAAACAGTTCGCCTGTATACAGGGTACTGTCTAGTCTTCGCTGCAACTGTGTTGTGTTGTCATCACTTACACTGTGTAAATATAATGGTGTTTAAATTAAATTGTCGTAATAATTAAGCTAACAATGCCCTGACGAGTTCCCGGGGCTACACACATGTGATATAGACAGGTGTCCGTTTCACTTTACCTGACGTCTGTACACACACAGCGTCCTTGTGTGTAGGTTGTTTGTGTGCTCTCCTATCTCGTCAGACGCACCTATAGGAGTTTATCATAGTGTGTCTGGACCTCGGTTACTAGGTAGGTATTTTATTGTTTTACTATAGAATTTGTTTGTGTATTGACATTAATTGAGCTTGTTACTGCGTAATGTGTCGGTATACCAGAATACACCCACTAAGTGTCATACAAATGTACGTATACGTTTAACCCGCTTTACTCGAACATATCTGTTAATACGGGTGTTTGAGCATATTGGAAGTAAAACCATCAAGTTTGCAGCTAGATCTCCACTTCAATGTGCATGTAGTATAGGAAGGGCATTGGACCAATTGTAATTCACGTTAACCGGAGTGAGCTATACATAGGTATATATGTCAAACTTTGGCTAAGGTCGATACCTGGATTTATCAACCCGAGAAAAGATATATTAACCCAGGACGCATTCCGAGGTCAATATATCTTTTCTCGGGTCGATAAATCCAGGTATTAACCGAAGTTAAAAGCTTCAATTGTTTTATTATTTTACAAAACAGTAATCTAAGCAATCTGAAAAAAAAAAAAAAAAGCTTCGGAAGTGGGACGGTGCATTGTTTGGAGACACGTCATAATTCTATTTTTAGAAACACACAGTCCTTCAACAAAAATCATGTGCTCCAAGTCAATATCAGTTTTTATCAGTCGACACTTGATGCACTTCTGGCCAATTACTTGTCGGGAATAATATGAAAAAATAATGAGACCTAAGATTGAACTGAGAAAGGAGAAATTCAGAATAAAAATTTGAATGATCAATTTTGACTTTGTGTTGTCAAATTAAAAAAA